TATATATATATATATATATTGCAACAATATGTTAAAAGTATTTCTGTAATTACAATATGAAACAAAGATAAATAAATAAATAAATATTCTCTTATTGAGAAGAACAGGGGGGAAGAATTAAAATTTAGATTAATTAAAACATAGACTCAGGAAAAAGAATATACTACTAGGTTTTATCGCTATGACATATAGACACTGTCAGACATTATTCCAGTTGTAACATATTTTATTTTATTATATATACAGGGTGTAATTTTTTGCTAAGCGTGTAGATAGAATAGACTAAACTGTGTCGAAAAGTCCTCTATCATTTTGCAATTTTCGCAGTTAACAAGATATTAAGACTCCTAAGTAGTCAATTATATTGAATCATGACGTCAGAAGCGAGAAATGACACATTTTTTATTACATGCCATTTATAAATAAAGATAATTTAAATAAAACAAAATGATAAAATTGTTTTAAAACATTTGTAAAAATGGACGAAAACTATGCTTATCCCTCCCTGACAGTCAATAAATAATCGTAAAAAGTGATAAAAGACATGAAGTGCTTTTATTCAATGCGCATACGTAGCTTATTTTACACGTGCTTCTTTACTTTTTATTTATTGACTGTCAGGGAGGGATAAGCACAGTTTCTGTCTATTTTTACAAATGTTTTAAAACAATCTCATCAGCAAGAAACAAAAATTATTTATTTTCTTCTCATAGAACTCTAAGAATTTTTTCAGAATTTGTTATGAACTTTTTAGTACTGCATTTTCTTATTGGCAATTATTTTTACCAACATGAGAAAATACGGTATTAAAAAATTCTGAAAAAATTCTCAAAACTTTATGAGAAAAAAATAAATTTTGGTTTTTCCTTGTTTTTCTGTAAAATTAATAGTGTTTGAGTAAAAAATTATTGAAAACCAATATTCAGCGATTTTTAATAATTAATATCTTGTTAACTATTGCAAAATGGTAGAGGACTTTTTAATTCAGTTTAGTCCTCTCTATCTAACACTACAAGAAGTCTTGGCAAAAAATTTCGTTACATCCTGTGTGTATAGGATGTTCCACTTTAAATAACGATCTCAAATTTCTCTTAAACAATACATTTTAGAGAAAAATGTTTCAGACAAAAATTTTGTAACTTCGAAAGGAACATAAAGATGATACCATTGATTTCATCTTGGGTAGCGTTGTCAAGGTGAGAGCAAAGTCACTTCAAATTTTTTAAATGGAATTTTTCATTACATATTCTTGTAGCTTATTCTTCTCTATAACTTACCTTGAGAGTTTTTCAAAATACGACTTGCAAGTTACAGCACCGTCGGCATTAGCATTACACAAGATATGCGATCGATAGCTAAAATCTCAAGAATTTTTGTTCAGGATCATGACCTGGATAACATTTGTCAAGATCAAGGTCAATAGAGGTTGTTCTTATTTTCATTTTTGCACTGAAAATTTGTATATAAAATGAAAATAAGAAGTGCAATCTCTAATGTCTTGTTCTTGACAAATGTTGACAAATGTCTAGGTCAAGAATCCTGAACAACATTCAAGAAATTTTAGTCATGGTCGGACACATTGGGTAATGCCGACAGTACTGTAACTTTTAAACCTTATAACTCGCAAAGTATTTAATGAAAAAAATATGTTATTATATATAGTGTTTTGAAAAGCTTTCAAAGTACGCTACAGAAGAATATATAATGAAAAATGGAAGATTCCATTTCAAAAATTCCATTCCAGAAGTAACCTTGCCCTGACTTTGACAACACCATCCAAGGTCAAACCAATGATATCATCTTATGTCCCCCTCGAAGTCACAAAACTTTTGCTTGAAACATTTTTCTCTAAAATGCACTATTTAAGAGAGATTTAGGTTGTCATTTAAAAGGACACCTTGCATGTGTGCGTGCGTGCGTGCGTGCGTGCGTGAGTGTTACATTTTTTAACAATTTGTGCTATTAAACCGTTGTGTGGCGGTAGGAAGTAATTCTCATTTTTTTCTTTTTCATTTTTACAATAGTTTTAAAAAATCAGTTATTAACAGATTAATCATATTTTTCTGATACATTAATACTTTATATGTTTTTATGGTCTTTATACTCGATTATTCATTTTTCTCTAATTATTTCTAATTATTAAAGAAACAAGGCTGAAAAAAAGAGTAATTTTTATGAAAATTATAGTTTCTTAAAAAATATTTCAGATAAAAAGCTCAAAATTTTAATGAATATTTTTTTTTAATTTATATGTGCAAGATTTTTTTATAAAAATTTACATGTGAAGATAAAAATACACATTTCTTGTAATAAAAGATCCTTCTATAATAAAGGATGCACTGAATATAAATGACTCTAAAAAGAATCACTAAAGTTTTCGAGAAATGAAGGGTTAAAATCCTCTCTTAAAATCATATTTTAAACTCGTAATCATCTTCATAAATTCATAACGCATGAACGCATGAATAATTTTTGAGGCTATGACGAGTATTTTCTTCAGAAATAAAAAGAAAGGATTTTATCATCATGTCGTGATCTATTGCTAAAGTCACGTTTCATGAAATTTGCAGTTCACTTCATCAAGACTAAGAGCGCTGATATTGAGTATCAATGCGCTACTTGCCCTAATGAAGTAAATGGCAAAGATCATGAAACGTTGGCATTAGCAAGAAATCATAGTATAAACTAGATATTTCAGCAGTTTTGGGGAATTCCGACATTGAAACTTAGACATTTATATTAATAATCTGAAAATCCTTTGTATGTCCTTTGTGTATCTGATTTATATTTATTTAGACTTATACTAATTATCTCTATATGGCAGTCATATTGGATCTGTACTATTTAGAATTTTGGAAATTTGGGTAAAAATTTATATTAGGGAACCTCCTCCAATGCCTTGACCTTGATATATTGCCAAGGTCGTGATTCTGAATGAATTTTAACCATTATTCGTTAAAAAATT